ACAGAATGAGTAAAGAGACTTGTCGGTAACGAGATTGAACTAGGTATGAGGATACCGACGATCGAATCTCGGGCAAGTAACATGCCGATGACAAAGGGAATAACGTATGTTGTCATTGCGGTTTGACCGATAAAGATCTTCGTAGAATATGTAGGAACCAATATGAGCATCCAGGTTCCGATGTTGGTTATTGACCGGAGATGTGTCTCGGTCATGTCTACATAGTTCTCGAACCCGTAGGGTCCGCACGCTTAACGTTCGATGATGATTTGTATTATGAGTTATGTGTTTTGGTGGCCGAAGATTGTTCGGAGTCCCAGATGAGTTCACGGACATGATGAGGAGTCTCAAATGGTCGATAGGTAAAGATTGATATATTGGACGATGGTATTCGGACACCGGAATGGTTTTAGAATGATTCGGGTATTTTTTTTCGGAGTACAGAGGGGTTACCGGAACCCCCCGGGGAAGTACTGGGTCTGCATGGGCCATAGGGGAGAGAGAGGGGAGCCCGCAAGGGGTGGCGCCCCCCCCCCCAAGGGAGTCCGGATTGGACAAAGAGGAGGGGGGCGCGGCGCGCTTTCCTTCTCCTCTCTCCCTCCTTTTCTTTCCCTTTTCCCCATCCGAAAGAAAGGAAAGGGAAGCCGACTAGGACTAGGAGTCCTAGTCGGTTTCCCCCCTTATGGCGCGCCCCCTGTGGCCGGCCTCCTCCCTCTCCTCCTTTATATACGGGGGCAGGGGCACCCCATAACACATCAATTGTTCTCTTAGCCGTGTGCGGTGCCCCCCTCCACAGTTTACTCCTCCGGTCATATCGTCGTAGTGCTTAGGCGAAGCCCTGCGTGGATCACATCACCATCACCGTCACCACGCCATCGTGCTAATGAAACTCTCCCTCGACCCTCTTCTGGATCAAGAGTTCGAGGGACATCATCGAGTTGAACGTGTGCTGAACTTGGAGGTGCCGTACGTTCGGCACTTGATCAGTTGGATCGTGAAGATGTTCGACTACATCAACCGCGTTAAACTAACGCTTTCGCTTTCGGTCTACGAGGGTACGTGGACACACTCTCCCCCTCTCATCGCTATGCATCTCCTAGATAGATCTTGCGTGAGCGTAGAATTTTTTTTGAAATTGCATGCTACGTTTCCCAACACTTCTGTGGACGTGCGGGTTTATGGTGGCGTGTATGGTTAGGACTACTCATCAAAAATGACATGTCATGAGACAGTAACACAGCGCGAGTCAAAATCAAAGTAGCGGTAGCCCTTGTGCTCTAGAGGATAACCGAGGAATATGCAGCAGATGGAGCGAGGAGAAAGTTTGTGATCCATTGTGGTGGATGTGTTAGGAAAGCATAAACAACCAAAGACGCGGAGATGGTTATACGTGGGGTGGACACCATGGAGGAGGTAATAAGGGGTATGGTGGCCGATGGCGTGGGAGGGTTGTCTATTGAATAAATAGGTCGCCGTGTGAAGAGCCTCAACCCAAAAGGGAGGTGTGAGATGAGCTTGGAACAAAAGAGTGCACCCGATGTCGTTTGTTATTCGAATGAGGCGTTCAGCCTTTCCAATTTGCGGAGATGTATGGGGGCAAGAGAAGCGATACGCAATGCCGTTGGAGGAGAAGAAGGTGCGTAGGGAGGAGTTAATGAACTCATCGCCATTATCACATTGCATAGCCTTGATGACAACATTGTACTGAGTGTTGACAAACATGAAGAAACGTTGCAGAATTGTGGAGATATCGAATTTATTGCACATGGGGAAGGACCACGAGTAGTGGGTAAAGTCATCTAACACAACGAGGTAGTATTGATAGCCTGAAAAACTTACAATAGGTGATGTCCACAAATCACAATGTATGAGATCAAATGATGCAAATGTTCTACTAAAGGAAGAAGAAAAAGGAAGGCGAGGCTGTCATCCAAGGTGGCATGCACTACAAGGAGAGTGTGCGGCTTTATTACAATCGGGAAGAACTCTCGAGCTAATACAGAAAGGGAGTGGGCGCCGGGATGGCCGAGGCGGCGATGCCATAAGTCCGAGGATGTCGTGGCGATGAGCACGGACGCCGGTGACGCTTTATTGCCAACGAAGGGGTATAGGTCGTCGTTGCTAATGGAGATCATGAGAACCCTCCGCATGCGAAGATCCTTCACAAGAAAACCACAAGGGTAAAACTCAATGGAACAAGAATTATCACGAGTGAACTTGCAAACAGAAATGAGACTAGTGACTACAATAGGGGAGACAAGAACATCTATGAGACAAATATCATGGGGGGGAGGGAGATGGAGCCGGTGGCCGTGGCAGGAAGGTGGTGACCGTTGCCGACAAGTATAATAGAGGGCACATGCTTTAAAGAAGAATTGTACGAGGTGATGTTACCTTGGTTGCCGGTGACGTGGGAGGAGGCACCACTGTCCAGGTACCACTCCAGCGGGGGGTTGGCGGGGATGCCACCGTTGCTGTACGCGGCATTCAACATGGCGAGATGCTCCCAAGAGGGCTGCGGCGCCGAGTAGTACGGAGATGGCGGTGAGGGCGCCGGCTGGTACATCCGGTAGGCGTGGGCGTGCGCACCAGGACGAGGGCCAAGGACCCCGGCGGAGTTGGGCGACACCCAGCCGGAGCGCCGAGCCGGCAGCGCCATGCCGTAGGGAGCGAAGTAGCTCGTGAACGGAGAGAGCGGAGGTTGGGACGAGTTGCTGCGTCCGCCCGAATCGGTCCGCCCACGTCCACGGCCACGGCCGCGGTCACCGCCGTTGCCGCCGCGGTCACCATGACCACGGGTTTGGTGCTGAGGATGTGGGGCAGAGGAGCGGCCAGAGCTGCGGTCAGGTGCGCGCTCCCCGCGATCGCCATGAGAGCGCCCAGCCGAGCCAGAGGCGCTACCACCAGAGGAGCCGCTGCTAGGGAAAGCGAACCCCGAAGCGCTCTCCTCAGTAGCCCGCTGCGCCATGGACTGTTTGGCGAGGACGACGCGGGAGAGAATGGCGTCGAAGGGCATGTTAGGCACCTGATCCCCGAGAACGACACGGATGGTCTCAAGGCGTTTGTCGAGGCCGTGCAAGAACTGGGTGGAGAGATCCACCTCGGTAACGGCATGGTCGATGTCGGCGAGGCCGTCGGTGAGAAGCTTCATGCGACAATCATATTCGATGACAGAGAGGTCACTCTGCTTGAGATTGCGGTACTGCCGATTGAGCATCATGAAGCAGGAAGCCTGATTCGCAAGGAAGAAGGACTGGATCTTGGTCCAGACGTCATAGGTGGTGGCACCGACGACGTGGTCAATGGAAGGATCCGCGAGGGTGGCGTAGATCCAGAGCGCTACATGGGCATCCAGCTCAAGATACTAGGCGTCGGCATTGGGGGGCGGCGGGTGCTCGATGAGAAAAGTGACCCCACAGTGGATGAGGACCACGAGGAAAAATGATTTCCACTTGTGGTAGTTGTGCGGGATTGAGAAGGAATTTGATGTGGTTAGTGATGTGATCATTGTAGATCGAGTTGCGAGGGGCGGGTGCCGGCGGCGCCGGCGTGGAGGAGGAGAACAGCCGAGTGAACTGAGAGCCGGACGAGCCAGATGTGCCATGGAGGGAGTTGGTGCCGGAGAGGGAGGGCGGTGCAGTGGCCGCAGAGAGGCCGTGGCGGTGGCCGCGGCGGGTGTCGTGTCGGAGGAGAGGGAGCTCGGCGAGGTGACGGAGCTGGAGGCGCCGGAAGAAGAAGTGCCAAGGTCGATATGGTGGAGGAGCCTGGTAACTGATGCCAAGTTGGAAGAGATAATCTTGATTGTTATTGATGTTGACAGAGTACATGCCATTTATACAGAGAGGAGAACGATCACCCCTACAGAGGTGGCACGCATGCCGTGGGCGACGTGATCCTAATTACAAGGAACATGCACATGCACAATAACGGTACATACAGGTTACATACAATTCAACAAGCATACCATGTTGCAACAGCAACAAACCAATTACATTTGTGTAGCTGAGGTACACCTTTTTTTTTCCTGTAGACTACATTGTGATTACACTATTGTGGAATCGACTATGAGTTCACGAGTTAGTGAATTACGATTTATAACTGTGCATCCGTGACTGAGAGGTTTGACATTCCCTTTTGTAAAACGAAGAAAACCCGTGGCTGTGGGCCTCCGTCTTG